ACAAAAACTGATCATAAACAGTCTACCATGATGTTACATTTCCAGATTTGTGTACTGTGCCTCGTCTTTTCTGTAGTTGGTCTGTGTACAGGGTACAACCCATACTATTATCAAAAATGTCTTTCTACTTTCGACCAGTGTCATTAAGTACTTCTTGAAATACAACGTAGTGGATGTAAAGGAAATCTTAAATATTGCGATAAATTATAGATATAAACTTATATTTTGGGGTTTAAATTTGAAATTATTTTAATTGCTTTTTAAAGTTTTTTTTTTTTTTTAAAGTTTCAATTTCAAAATTAACTTGAATTAAGAGCCTTCGGGGAGATGCAAAAATTAATTTATTGTCGAACGGTTAACAAGCAAAATGAATTGTGACATTACATGCCTATTTTATTATTTCAGATTAGGTGCGGTCTATGACCCTGATAGCCGAAGTGGCAAAGGGTTTTGTCGTACCATAGGATTTCTAGATGCATCTTGCAATTGGAATTTCGCTGGTTGCTTTTATGAAAGTCAACAAAGCATGTCCCCCATATCATTACCTCTGTGTTTGTACGGACGATTATGCATATTGGTATGACTGAAGTAAATGGGCAGGGCGTCAATGACTGCTATGTTTCGATGCAAAAAAATAAATGTTTGTAGAATGTCAATACACATGTCGACCTGGAATTTTCCAAATAAACCTCAAATAATTTCTCGTGATCAATACATTAATTGTTGGTGGGTTAGTGTGTGTGTGCGTGCGTGCGTGCGCGCGCGCGCGTGTGTGTGTGTGTGTAGAATTGCAATGGGAAATGATTTTGATTCATTAATAGCCTCTCTATATTGCATGGTAAGATCTTTCTAATTATCTTGAATGTGTGACTGTAACTCGACTACTGCCCCAGATGCAAAGGCTTTTGCTCATTGCAGGTTTTTGGTATTGAACGATTTTCAAATTGTGTTAGCATTAAGCCGTCGCAAGACTTGTCTTAAAAATTTAATCCCTAGATGGTAAATTGATCTCACCATGCCCCAGGATTCTCGTGTAACAGCTGCGAGGTTGCTTACACTACTGCTTGTAAACGATGTCTGAGGTACCATGTTGGGGGGATCGGGTGAGAATTTCTGACATTCTGACAGCCTATCCCAAGTTTTCAACTTAATCAATATGCCGTCTCTTATAACTACGAAAGAATCGCGACGGATGTATCAAGTATGACCATAGTAGCCGCTACAAAACGGCCCCCCCCCAAGGTCTAGTTACGTCAAAAACAGATCTACGTCTACTCATATTTGAGGGCCCACGATCAATGTATAGATCATTTTGGCTCCTGGTTTGAATTCAGAGTTAACCGTCTCTTAGATGAGTTGCCTTTCAAGGCTAACGAGTCCCATCCAACAAGGGTGCTTGGGATTTTGCTTTGGCGGGGACTGAACTCCAGAACACCACTATTTGGAGTGAGTCAGTTTAGACCACTCGGCCACCCAGCACCCTTTTTTATACTTAGCAAGTGAATGTGTCAAATACCTGACCTGCGCAGTCCTACCTGCATTAAAGAAATGCTCATTTTCGGAGGACAGGAAGGGCTCTAGCAGTGGTTTATCTTGGTTACATGCTGGTTGAGACAAATTCCAAAAGTGTGCCTGGCTCACCACGTCCTTCGACTGAGACCTTTTAGAGCTTTGACCTGGCTCACTACATCCTTCCACTGAGACCTTTTAGAGCTTTTGCCTGCATCGCCACGTCCTTCCGTTAAGACCTTTTAGAGCTTTGGCCTGGCTCACCACGTCCTTCCACTAAGACCTTTCAGAGCTTTGGCCTGGCTCACCATGTCCTTCCACTGAGACCTTCCATCCATTCCTGTGGCGCTACAACCCATGTAGGGCTTTGGCCTGCATCGCCAAGTCCTTCCACTCAGACCTTCCATCCATTCCTGTGGCGCTAAAGCCCCTTCCCCAACACGTCCTTCTACTCAATATAACTGATGATTTTCATTTCCATGCTTGGATTCCAAGCTGCTTTAGATCTATTTCAAGATCATCCATCCATCTAAGGTTTTGGTGATGCATACTCTTCACTCCTCTGTCATGTGACATTCTCTCTAAGTGTCGAACCCAGGATAGCCTGCTTTTAAAAAAATTTCAGCTTCGAGCGTGGGATCATGATATAGACAATACAATTATTGGTTGGTTCGATGCTAACATCAGCCATTAATAAACTATTACACATGTTAAATTAATGAATACACACTAAAGTGAGACCAATTTAACAGAAGAATGGGGTGTAGCATTCTTGGTGGGTAAGAGAAAAAGTAAATTAAAAAATCAGCCACATTTGCGACAACATAATGGCTAATATCGTAATGAAGCCCTAGATAATGTATTATTCTAAAAACTACCCCCATCACAGCGGCCGAGCTTGGGAGAGGGAACGGCGTGTGTAGACTTGAAAATACAAATGTATTAGTTAAGCATTCTAAATTTTTAAAAGAAAATTTCGACTTGGTACTAGGTAATTTAACACACTCAAGTGCCCACAAATTAAAAAAAATTGTTTGAAGGGATAGGGGCAACCGGTTATGGGTGTGATTTTTATTGGAATGTCATTCTCACCTGACCCTGGAATGTCATTCTCACCTGATCCTAGAATGGAAGTCTTGGCTGATCCTGGAATGTCATTCCCAACTGGACCTGGAATGTCAGACTCACCTCATCCTGGAAGGTCATTCTCACCTGATCCTTGGACGTCATTCTCACCTGATCCTGAAATGTCAGACTCACCTGATTCTGGAATAAAGGTCTCGGCTGACCCTGCAATGTCAATCTCGCCTGATCATGGAATGGAAGTCTCGGCTACAGTTATCACATTTCCTGGAATGACTCTCCCATGTTGAACTTCTCGCTTGAGAACCTTTACTTCCCTAGCCTTCCTAAATTCTCTTTTTTTCTTTTAAAAGGGCTTAGTTTTATTTTCTTTGCTATGTAAATAAGCTAGGCATATCATTGCCGGCAAAGATACTAAGCATTGGTGGTGTTTTATTTAGGCCAGCTGTTTCCCAATGCAAACGATCCTCATTCTAGACGGAGCCAGTGGCTCCAAGCGAATGACATATGACAATTTCACACAAACTGCATCACAGGAGTTGACAAATTAACTTTGGCATGAAAGTTTGGGTTTACTCCCGAAATTTACCCTAGCTTTCTACATTGTTTTTAAAAATCTCTATTGGTATTTATTCTTTAATTTCGTGTTATTCCACAATTTCAATCATCTCTCAAATGTGCGTGTCGGTCATCTTCTTACTATCCGGAAGCATTAATACTAATGATACTAATAATATCAACTAATGGAACGGAGGGTAGCCCTTAAGTTGAAGGCAGCAATTGGCATCTAGATGGACGTCGTGTTTTAACGTATGTTTGGGTTTCACGCGACAGCATATCTCCATCAGGAAAGACTTAGACCACTTGTGCTCACTGAGCTTCACAAATAAGATGAACTTCTGTCACAACACCTTATTTATTTTAAGTTCAAGAGAAGGTTTAGAAAAAATATGAAAGAAATAAGATTCCTGACATTTCAATAGACAGTATCATTGAGTAAAAATTCAAGCGTTTGTTGCGCTCTTCCTTGTGTCAAATATTATGGGCCTAGAAAATGTATCAAGTGAATGGAGGAGATATGTGGTTGATTTATGGGTGGAGTGAAATCACAAGAACGAATAAAATTAAATTATTCATGGTTGTCAGTTTTTTCACTGAACTGAGTGTTGAGTTTTGTGTTTTGTGAAAGCAGTAACTAACTATCTTTTTGGTCATCGTCTTGTCACAATGTGACGATGGTGTAGACCTCGCAGGACGAAAACACAAGGCCTGTGATTTTTTTTCTTTAGAAGGATAGGCTGGTTCCCTAGACAGTAAATCGCCTCTCTCCATGCACCCAGATAAGCCAAGGGAACATCGTGTGTGGATGATACAGCTTGGCATCAGTAGCGCCGCAGGAGTTTCTGGAATTTTCATTGCGTCAATGATATACCACCTACGGGTCTCCATTTTCCGTGTTTGGATTTTCAAAGTTTTCATTCACTTACATGAGTTGCAATACAAGGTGAACGAGTTCTATCCAACCGGGGGGCTCGTGCGGCATCTGCTGGACATCGTCGTAGATCCGGCTTTCTGTGTAAATGTCTGGAGTGCTCCAAAACCCTCCACTCATTTGTGTCGGGCACTCGAGAAATTAGCAAATGCGCTACTGTCTCCGGCGGCTTTCAGCGATGACGGTAGTTCGGATCCGTCCCAAAGAGGATGTAATCTGTTCTAGTAGCTTCGAGTAGGACCGTGTTGTGTTTTCATCTGGTGTTTGCATTTCTATTTTTACAGTTTCCTTTTTGGGTGAGGCATGTTTCGGTAAGGTTTAGGGACCGTGTCCCATTTTTTTACAATTTTTTTTTTACTCATTCCTCTAGGAAGAGGGTCTCTTAACCACGCTTTGACCTCCCCCCCCCCCAGTTGTAAAATAGAGTTAACGCTAACCACAATGTCAAACTTACCGCCTACCGTTTTGACTTAACCCTTGGTTAGAAATCTCATCATATCAACCACCTGCCGGATGAAACTAAACTAAATTAATGTCCCGGAGAGCCAGCCGAGACGATGCAAACTTAATTAATTGTGTAAATGGGCAGTCTTTATTTCAGCATAGCATTACCTGTGCATCAGATGTGCGTGATTAAACATTGCAACTGTTCATTACGTCATCAAAATAAATGTATAATATTTGTGAGATACTCTCTAAAAAAAAACGTTTGTTTCCTTAGTTTAAATCGTTCAATGAATTAGTCTAAGAATTTACTTTACCTACTTAAGAAATTGTTTTAAATAATTTAGCCGTGCAGCTGTTTTACTAAAGTGAAATAATAATGCTCAAAATTTATTAACTTCTTCAGAAAATTTCAAAAATTCATATTAAATAGATATTAACCAATAAAATGTTATAATAAAGACCATACATTGCATTGATAATATAAAAAGAAGGAATGTAAAATTTGTCAGAAACGGAAATGGTAGAAACCAAGCACAAAATATACGATCTCGAAAATCTCAGGTTGACCACAAGAACAGGAAGAAATGTGTTACTTTTAGGTGACGTGATGTAAAGGAATCCCATTTTCCTTGGACAATTGATAGTATTGTCTATAATGTATGGCATTGTCTATAATGTATAGCAATGTCTTTAATATATAGCAATGTCTATAATGTATAACACTGTATATAATGTATAGCATGTCTATAATTTTTAGCAATGTCTCTAATGTATGGCAATGTCTATAATTTATAGCAATGTCGATAATGTATAGCAACTTCTATAATGTATAGAAACGACTCTAATGTCTAGCAATGTCTATACTGTATAGCAATGTCTATAACGTATAGAATTGACTTATTCCGTTCAGTGAATGGTTTATCAGTAATGCGGATTGATATATCAGTAATGTTATGTTAATTTTTTTAAAATTAAACTGGTGTCCAATAATTATAACATTATGACATTTAAAACAACAAAAAGCCCCATTATGACTTTGACCAAAAACAAAAATAATGCTAAGTGCACAAACGAGGCAGCATGCAAGAAAAATATGTTTTTAAAATATCTGTAGAAACAATTTCTAAATATGTGTACACATTTCTTTTAATGAACAAATAAGAAACCAGGAATCCAATTTTTTTTTTAATGTTAAGATCTAAATAAATATTGATTTCATTTTCATGGAACGGGAATCTTTTTATTAGAATCCAATATAGGTTAATTTCCATCTAAACCATGATCGTATGCAGTAACATGGGGAATGGCAGTGACTTCCTCGGGGATTGCGAGTCACTCTACAGACTCATCGGGGTCCACGACGAGTATGGGGTCATCAATGGTATTGAGTTCCTCGACTTCTACTGGCAGATCTCTGATCTGCTCTGGATCTGGTCGCAGTTTGGACTCATCAAAACCCTCATCACCTTTACAAATTAATTCTTGTTTACAGCATTGGGGGTAGCCTTTGTCTAAGTTGTCCTGGACGTAGCATGAATACGTGTCGTAATAGAAAGCCATTAAACCACATCTGTGAGGATAAATATTGCATTTTAGCGGACGTTTATCGCTGTCTGGAGCAAAAGTCAAGAGCAATTTTCCAGTTGAATTGCTGTTAATGCTGTGTATTTTTATCTTAGAGCTTTAGGTAAAGTTATATATAAAGTTATAATGTTCTGGATAAGGTTATATATAACGTCCTAGATAAAGCTATAGATAACGTCCTAGAAGTTATAGATAAAGGCAAAGAAAAGGTCATATAAAAAGTTTAGATAAGTTATAGATAAAGTTTGGATCAAGCCATACATAAAATTATAAAACCATATAGATAAACATATATATATTTATATATTTGATAAAGTTATAGATAAATTCATAGATCAACTTATAGATCAAGTCATAGTTAGGAGTTAAAGAGTGGAGACCTGGGGAAGTGATAGATTGAAGTCTCACATTGCTAGACATTCCGTGATTAGTGTTATTACCAGGACCTTTGGCAGTAGGTATCTCCAGCGGCGTACCTTTTTGTTAGGCGGCTTCGCCCCTGGTGACACTTTCCATAACGCCAAACACAGTAAAAAAAAAAAAAAAAAAAAAAAATAATAATAATAAAAAAAAAAAAAAAAAAAAAAATAATAATAACTAACCCGTAACAACCATACCATCCGTCACCACAATCACAACCTTGACATCCAGGAAGTTCCCACGAATCTCCGTTAACATGACCGTCTGGACACTCACCTGGAACAGACAGGAATGAGGAGTGGGGAATGGAGGGGTGGGGACGCTCATTTAATTTATGATTTAAACATTTTGAAATTTTGAATGTTGTGAACATAAAAAACATTTGCTGACGTTGTCCAACATTATAACAACTCATCAAAACAAATCAAAACTTAAGAGCTTAGTTTTCGGGAACTGCTAGACATAAAAGAAGGAAGCGGTAGACCAGAGATCAAATCCAAGCCATTTCATGTTGGTTTGGAGACTCAGGCCGTAAGCAAATTTGTATTTTGATCAAGTATTTAGAGGCCTCATAGCGTCCCAAGACTGAGACAATAGGATACATCTTCATTTAGACCGTCAACTGTTTCACAATTCATTCATATGTCTAGACCGTGAATAATTCAATTTACATACAATGATATTAAGATTTAATGAAATTGCTAATTAGAATGAATGAAATAGCAAAACGAGGTATGTGCAAGCTTGAATTAGAGAACAGGACAAAAAGATTAGGACGTTTAATACATTGAAAGCAGTCCTTTAATTATTATAATTACAATGAAACAAGGAGATGAAATAGCTGATTACAGTGACTTCTCTTTATACGTGTTTAATTTGTCAAAAGACAACTATGACTTTAATTATTATTATTTTTTTTTTTTCAAGACCATGGTTTGGTTCACGTGTTAATTTTTCTTTTCAAAAATGAAGTTTAAATGTCGAAGCGAAAGACGAATAAAAATGCTTCACATAAACAGAGTAATAGCATAGAAACAATATCAAAAGGAATGTATGCACTAGCATAGGTTCATCTACGAACATTTTCGGTCTAAGGGGTGACATCGTGGATCTGGTATCGCTGAGCTTGGAATGTGGAGCTTTGTCGTGGAACTGGTATTGCGGAGATGGTATCGTGTCGGTAATTTTGTGGCGATGGAATTGTGGAGGTGAATAACGGACATGGTGTTGTGGATGAAGAGTTTACGTTATCATGAAGTTCGGCATCGTAGACATGTAATCGTAGAGCTGGTATTTTTTAGTTGGTATCGTGGAGCTGGTATTTTTTAGTTGGTATCGTGGAGCTGGTATGTTTTAGTTGGTATCGTGGAGCTGGTATTTTTTAGTTGGTATCGTGGAGCTGGCATTTTTTAGTTGGTATCGTGGAGCTGGTATTGTGGAGCTGGTATTTTTTAGTTGGTATCGTGGAGCTGGCATTTTTTAGTTGGTATCGTGGAGCTGGTATTGTGGAGCTGGTATTTTTTAGTTGGTATCGTGGAGCTGGTATCGTGGAGCTGGTATTTTTTAGTTGGTATCGTGGAGCTGGCATTTTTTAGTTATGGAGCTGGTATTGTGGAGCTGGTATTTTTTAGTTGGTATCGTGGAGCTGGTATCGTGGAGCTGGTATTTTTTAGTTGGTATCGTGGAGCTGGCATTTTTTAGTTGGTATCGTGGAGCTGGTATTTTATAGTTGGTATCGTGGAGCTGGTATCGTGGAGCTGGTATTTTTTAGTTGGTATCGTGGAGCTGGTATCATAAAGCTGATATTACGACTCATACATTGGATTTTTCCGTCTGCGTTTACTCAAGCCAGTGGACGTTTGTCATTTGAGTCTCCGTTGCGTGTAATGTACAACTTCAAGGTCATGAGAATCTCATCTCTCATATGTATTTAAATGTGAAAGCATTTCAAATAAGGGGAAAAGGAGGAAAAATTGGACCCTCTCCTCACAATTCAAAACTTGGAGTTTGAAAAAAAAATAAAACAGGAGTTGCACAATCCCCCCACTCCGAAATAAAATATAAAAAAATGAACCAATCTCCATGAACAGGACATACAGCAAATGAACCAATCTCCATGAACAGGACATACAGCAAATGAACCAATCTCCATGAACAGGACATACAGCAAATGAACCAATCTCCATGAACAGGACATACAGCAAATGAACCAATCTCCATGAACAGGACATACAGCAAATGAACCAATCTCCATGAACAGGACATACAGCAAATGAACCAATCTCCATGAACAGGACATACAGCAAATGAACCAATCTCCATGAACAGGACATACAGCAAATGAACCAATCTCCATGAACAGGACATACAGCAAATGAACCAATCTCCATGAACAGGACATACAGCAAATGAACCAATCTCCATGAACAGGACATACAGCAAATGAACCAATCTCCATGAACAGGACATACAGCAAATGAACCAATCTCCATGAACAGGACATACAGCAAATGAACCAATCTCCATGAACAGGACATACAGCAAATGAACCAATCTCCATGAACAGGACATACAGCAAATGAACCAATCTCCATGAACAGGACATACAGCAAATGAACCAATCTCCATGAACAGGACATACAGCAAATGAACCAATCTCCATGAACAGGACATACAGCAAATGAACCAATCTCCATGAACAGGACATACAGCAAATGAACCAATCTCCATGAACAGGACATACAGCAAATGAACCAATCTCCATGAACAGGACATACAGCAAATGAACCAATCTCCATGAACAGGACATACAGCAAATGAACCAATCTCCATGAACAGGACATACAGCAAATGAACCAATCTCCATGAACAGGACATACAGCAAATGAACCAATCTCCATGAACAGGACATACAGCAAATGAACCAATCTCCATGAACAGGACATACAGCAAATGAACCAATCTCCATGAACAGGACATACAGCAAATGAACCAATCTCCATGAACAGGACATACAGCTCTTTCCAGGTCCCATTTGCTGCTGACGTGGAAATAGTTGATCCGATTTAACCTATGGAACTACACTTGAATCTTTAGAATTGTGGCTCACTGAACAACACATTCAAGTCAAAGGGCATTCATAGTTCTCATCCCTTCTGAGACATAGCTGAAGTTATTTTATATCCAATGAATGAATTCTTCGAGCCTGGATGACCTAGGGGGGAGGGGGCTGATGGTAGTAAACGGGATGGGTGGGATACTTCAAATCTCGTATAGGGGTGGGGTTTAACACAGTTAAACATCTAGAAAAGGCCCTTAATATATAACTGCTAGGCAGCAGGACAATTAAGTTAACTATCAGCTTAGATTTTATATTAAGTTATCTTATACTGTGCGAACTGTGTATAGTATTGAGCGAAGCAAAATGTGGGATAACCTAAATTGAAAGAAAGCAAACTGAATTTTAAAAAAAACCAAAAAAAACAAAACAAAAAACAAAAAAAAAAACGAACGTTTCGACACGAAGCCTTCACCGGCGAATAAATAACGGTAAAAAAGGAATTAAATAATAATACCACTTAGCTGAAGTTTTGTATCCGAGAGGACAACAAGAGGAATGACACCAGATAAAGTATACTGTGAGATGAGCAGCATTGTGACATATGGTACACTACGATATAACTTATAGCGTGAGCTAGAGTGTGTTCTAGATGTGAAGCATACTCAAGTACGAGGCAATCTTTAATCTGAGATGAACTGAGATGATATGCTGAGATGAGGTAAAGTGTAAGATGGGGTATACTGTAAGATGGGTGTAATGAGAGAGAATAAATACTGAACATGTTTCATCTCCTGACTAGATCATCTCCTGACTAGATCATCTCCTGACATATCATCTCCTGAGAAGATCATCTCCTGACTATGTCATCTCCTAACTAGATCATCTCCTGACTACATCATCTCCTGACTAGATCATCTCCTGACTAGATCATCTCCTGACTAGATCATCTCCTGACTAGATCATCTCCTGACTAGAGCATCTTCTGACTAGATCATCTCCTGACTAGAGCATCTTCTGACTAGATCATCTCCTGACTAGATCATCTCCTGACTAGAGCATCTTCTGACTAGATCATCGCCTTACTAGATTATCTCTTATCTAGATCATTTACTTTACTTAATAATTTTACATTGAAATAGTTGAAAGACTAGAAAGACTGAATAGACTGAAAGTTATCTGCCCTTGAAATATTTCAGTTAAACTTCTACAGTATTTTATTTTGTAAATGTGATTTCCGACTTGTTGGTGTAGAGAGTAGGTGGTCAGGTTTATGACATGGAAGTAAAAGTTTCGAGCCTGTGATTTTTTGTATTATTAAGTATCAACTTAAGCAAAATTTTATATATGAAAATAAACATGAAATCTGGTCCACCGAAAAACTAGTTTCTTGATGTCTCAGTCTGATGTTTCTTGGCGTCTTAGTCTGATGTCTTAGTCTGATGTTTCTTGTTGTCTTAGTCTAGTGTTTCTTGGTGTCTTAGTCTGGTGTCTCTAGAAGTGTTCGTCTCGCAATTCTTAGTGTGATGTTTCTTATTGTCTTAGTCTGATGTTGTTTTTTATTGTCTTGGTCTAGTGTTTCTTTGTGTATTAGTATGAGTTATCGTGTTGTCTTAGTCGGGTGTTTCTTGTTGTCTTAGTCTGATGTCTCCTGTTGTCTTATTCTAGTACTTCTCAGTCTGGATTTTTTTGTCAGTCTGGTGCTTCTTGTTGTCTTATTCTGATGTCTCTAATTGTGTTAGACTTGTTTTTCTCAGCCTGGGGCTTCTTGTTGTCTTGGTCTAGTGTTTCTTGTTGTCTTGGTCTAGTGTTTCTTGTTGTCTTGGTCTAGTGTTTCTTGTTGTCTTGGTCTAGTGTTTCTTGTTGTCTTGGTCTAGTGTTTCTTGTTGTTTCAGTCTGGTGTTTCTTGGTGTCGTAGTATGGAGTTTCTTGGTGTCTTAGTCTAGTGGGTTTTTTTGGGTCTTTTTCTGGTGTTTCTTGTCTTTGTCTGGTGTTTCTTGGTGTCTTAGTCTGGAGTTTCTTGGCATCTTAGTGAAATGTTTCTAGGTGTCTTTGTCGGGTGTTTCTTGGTCTCTTAGTCTTATGTTACTTGGTGTCTTCATATGATGTTTCTTTTTGGCTTAGTCTGATTTTTTTTTTTTTTTGTAATTCTTAGTCTGGAGTTTCTTGTAGTCTTAGTCTGGTGTTTCTTGGTGTCTTAGTCTGGTGTTTCTTGGTGTCTTAGTCTGTTGTTTCTTGGTGTCTTAGTCTGGTGTTTCTTGGTGAGTCTGGAGTTTCTTGGTGTCTTAGTCTGGAGTTTCTTGGTGTCTTAGTCTGGAGTTTCTTGGTGTCTTAGTCTGGAGTTTCTTGGTGTCTTAGTCTGGAGTTTCTTGGTGTCTTAGTCTGGAGTTTCTTGGTGTCTTAGTCTGGAGTTTCCTTGTGTCTTAGTCGGATGTTTCTTGGTGCCTTAGTCGGATGTTTCTTGGTGTCTTAGTGCAGTGTCTCTTTGAGTCTTAGTCTGAATTTTCTTGTTGTCTTAGTCTGAAGTTTATTGTTGACTTAGTCTGGTGTGCTCTTTCTTTGTTTGTATGTGATTTACTTACCCATTTCAAACATTGCCGCACCATAAGCTGCAGCAACGATAGCCATGAAGAAAAAAGTTGATATCACGAAGGCTCTCATTATTGTTGGCTTTCAGGAAAGTGCACGGTCTCAAGATGGTTTGGGAAAATCTTGACAGATGATTGTGACTTTTATAGCCGCGGGCTGACTTGACATACAATGGTCAACATAAGCTGGCTTATATTTAGCGGATTTCGGCTAGCGCTAAAAGCAGCGCATTAGACCGTTCCATGTGGTTGATTATCGACTGCTCCATACAAATATTAACAGGCTGCTCAATATTGATCACCTTGCAGGCCAAACATAATCGTTAAACTTATGTGTCTCACTTTTGAACTCGTTAAGTTTAACAATTTTTCTAAATTTTAACATTGCTTACTACGCTTGTTTGTATTACATATGAATTAGAGATTTTTTTTTTAATGACCTATTTCTCATAAAAGGGGTAAAAGTCGAATCCTACTAAAGCATAACTCTAAAATCTACCCTCCCCCAAAACTTTAATTGTATCTTCTCTTCTGTCCACTTATTCTTTTTTTCTTCTACCTTTCCCTACGACTTTATTCTTTTTTTACCTTTTTTTAAGAAAATATGTTGTGCTTCCTTTAAGATTATGTTTATTATCCAGTAGAGGATAAAACTCTAGTACTTCCCATGAGATTATGTTTAGTATTCAATTGATACTAACACTCAAAGTGTAGCCAGCATAGCTTTTAGTTTACGCTTTTGTCATATTTGTAGAATTTGACAAATTACGTCGTGACTTTAGATGGATGTCGTATGTGCATTTTCTTATATTTTAAACAAATAAATATCACATTGTTTATAGATGAAAGAAGAAATCTAATTGAATATGACAAGCTTCAGATATTTGATAATTTAAATGCATGATTTAGGTCACATCAATTACGGATACCAGACGGTACTGTTTACTGAATGTAAAGACTTTGTTACTTTGTTATACTGCACAGCTTAAGTTTACATCGGACAAATAAGTCTATTTCAATCCCTGGTCTCTTTTAGGAGTAAACTATACTCTTTTAAAAACAAGAATTTCACTCGAAGACTGGTTTTAACACACTAAAGTAGAAAATAGTTCTCTTAAAATAATTATGTCTTAAAGTTCATTACGCAAACCAATTTTGTGCATTAGGGTATTAAGGCACTCTATGGCGCCAAGGGTTTCCAATTAAATTTAGAAGTTTCCCCATAGTTCAATATGTTGGTTTTGTTCTAACTGGGACTCAAACGAAATTAAATAAAGGTTTTTTGGTCAGTGCGTTCACATCGGTTTATATGTGGAGACAAGCTGCCTTCATATTGGTGCACATATCTATTTATATGTCTGAGACAAGCTGCCTTCATATTGGTGCACATATCTATTTATATGTCTGAGACAAGCTGCCTTCATATTGGTGCACATATCTATTTATATGTCTGAGACAAGCTGCCTTCATATTGGTGCACATATCTATTTATATGTCTGAGACAAGCTGCCTTCATATTGGTGCACATATCTATTTATATGTCTGAGACAAGCTGCCTTCATATTGGTGCACATATCTATTTATATGTCTGAGACAAGCTGCCTTCATATTGGTGCACATATCTATTTATATGTCTGAGACAAGCTGCCTTCATATTGGTGCACATATCTATTTATATGTCTGAGACAAGCTGCCTTCATATTGGTGCACATATCTATTTATATGTCTGAGACAAGCTGCCTTCCTACCTTTACATGGCGGAGACAAGCTTGGTCTCAATTCGTTGAAGTGTTTGGTCAAATCTGTAGAAAAGGCTCAATTCTGAGACCCCTATCCACTTGTAAGCTAACTGTAAGGGCGGTTGGACAAAGAAAATCTCAGCTCTCAGTTCAACAAAATTGGCGGCAAAAAAGTTCGCAAACTTGAAATCCCTGTCAGAAGTGTAGTAGAGTAAGTTGATATATTTCGTGCTTTTATTTCCGTAAAAAAATGCGTTGAGTCGACGATGTTTGAGGTCATAAGGCTGATATCGACTTTGTTTGAGGCGATAAGGCTAATGTCGACGATGTTTGAGGTCATAAGGATAATATCCACTTTGTTTGAGGGGATAAGGCTAATGTTGACGATATTTGAGGCCATAAGCGAAGTCCACGATTTTTGAGGTCATATGGCTAATGTGCACAATGTGTGTGGTCCTAAGGCTAATATCGACGATGTTTATTGTCATAAGGCTAATGACAAATATGTTTGTGGTCATAAGGTTAATGTCCACGATGTGTGCGGTCATAAAGCTAATGTTGACGATGTTTGAGGTCATAAGGCTAATGGCCACAATGTCTGTGTTCATTAGACTAATTTCCACGATGTCTGTGGTCATAAGGCTAATGTTGACGAGTTTTGTGGTCATTAGGCTACTTCCCACGATGTTTGTGGTCATAAGGCTAATGACAACTGTGTTTGCTGTCATAAGCCTAATGTCCACGATGTTTTCGGGTAAACGGCTGATGTCCCCGATGTTTGAGGTCACAAGGCTAATTTCGACAATGTTTGAGGTCATAAGGCTAATGTTGACAATGTTTGAGGTCATAAGGCTAATGTTGACGATGTTTGAGGTCATAAGGCTAATGTTGACAATGTTTGAGGTCATAAGGCTAATGCCAGGTTGATCACGCGTGCCGTAAATTGCCGACCGCTGCTCTAGTGCGCCGCATAAGTATCTGAGATCATTGGAGAGGAACGAACCATGATGAACCTAACCTTCCCATCAGGCGTAAGTCAGATTAAGTGAGAGTTTGTCAGATTAATGACTTATTGATTAGCAAGATTATTTGCGTAGCCGTTTAATCATTTCTAATGCGCATTGATGTTTACCAGGTGGGGTAAACATAAGAAGTGACATGTACAAACAGCTGTTGGTAAGTTAGACTTTTATCCCTTTGTGACAGTGTGGTGTATGTCGTGTATGGGTGTGGTATGTTCCTTTAGAGTACTTTTTAGATGTGTTGGGGAGGGGCGTGGTAGTTATAGTTGCAGTATTTTTTTATTTGTGGGGTAGGGGTGTTGTATATCTGAAGTAACACGTTTATTAATAGCGGTGAGGTTTTCATACTGGAAGCATCAAATAATACAATATTTCAAGATTGCTCCGCTATCTGGGCACGGGTCAGAAAATTGGTTTCATAAACACAGTTAAATTCCCCATTTTAAAATTGATTTGATATATAAGAAGGACCTTAACCCTCACAATAATTCCGTTAGCATTGACAGATTCGAGTAGTTATGACTTCGCACTCTACACTTCTTGAAATGGTACGTCCAGTGGGATTAATAAATTCACTTAAAGATAGCTACTGAGACCTGGGATGGAAGAAAATTAAACCACTTTGCATGATCACTTAAGTGCTCAAAATTTCAATTGAAGCTAAAAACCCACCCTACATTCTTACTACTTTATTAAAGACGTTGAAGTTATACAAACTATTTCATTTTTTAGTTGAAAAAAAAAATGTGGGCCAAATGTATCAAATTGTATTCGAATATTTAAATAGACTCGCCACTTCATTTCAAAACACCAATAAAATTATTAACAATCTCTGTAGTGTGAGAGTCCTTGACGTCATTGTACGTTGATAGGATTAGCATGCGCGTCATAAGCTGGAGTCAGGATATGGGTCGTCAAAACCATTACAGTGTTTAATCTATGGCTTAAAACTTGCGCATAAATCAGCTATTCAAGTGAATAAATTCCAAAGGCTCTGGGTTAATAAGATTTTTTTTTTCATAACAACTTGATATAATCGTTTTATATTTAAAAGCAGCAATTCTGTGCAGTGCAGTTTTCATGATGTCATTACATTTGAATTCATCAAACTAATATTTCAGAAATAATGTACGTTTCCAACTGAGTGTGTACATTAAGCTGATCATAAAATGTATGAATTATTGGTTTTGATCATATCAACTAAACAAGAAGTAAGGGGGATGTTTTTTTTTTGGGGGGGGGGGGTTAGGGGGTAGGACAAAACACGTTATTTATAGATCTTTTTTCCGCTAGAGGAATATAAGAATAATTGTTCGTTCACTGATTGATGTGAAAATTCGTTTTCCATCCATCCCTGTGGCGCTACAGCCCGTGTAAGGCTTTCGCCTGCCTCACCACTTCCTTCCACTTATACCTAACTAATACCTTTTTTTCCATGCTTGGACTTTCAGCTGCTGTAGATCTTTTTCTACATCATCTATCCACCTAAGCCTAGGTCTGCCTTCGAGCCTTTTTCCTCTGGGGTATTGGTGATGTACCCTCTTCGTTCCTCTGTCATTTGGCATTCTCTCTAGGTGTCCTGCCCAGCGTAGCCTGCCTCTTTTTATTTCTGCCACTATCGCGGGATCCTGATATAGACTGTATAATTCCTGGTTTGTTCGTATTCTCCATCCATATTCATCCTTTGATGGCCCACATATTTTCCTGAGAACTTTTAATCCGTTTTAATCCGATTAAAAGTAAATCCACATTTTTCAGTTTCAGTAACAAATATTTTTATTTTCAAAATGATTTAAAGGTTTATTAATAAATATTTTCAGTGTACTTGTTAACTTTTAGGTTGATGAAATAAAATTGCTATAAATAGATTGCGTACTCGTTTTCTTTAAGATATAGGAATTTAAATATGTCTTAGAGAGCCTTCTATATAATAGAATACAATACCGTACCCTACTGTAAACACAGTAGAGTAGCTAGGGGGCTGCGGGGGTGCGGACCGCACCAGGGGACACCATCTCAGGAGGTGACACCAAATTGAAAAATTGCATATTTACAGAGCACACACTGCTCGGTCTAACCGATCACACTCAAATTGTCCACACAAGTAACCAATCCAAATGGATGCTTTATTAAAAGTTAAAGGTTGATACACCAGGTGACCGAAACTAGGTCAGAAAAAAACAACATTTTGATGTTGATTCAACGCCTTTTGAATTATTCGGTCACTTTCTTAAGTGACACTCTGTTGCCGAAAATGCATCATGCGTTACATTTTTCGCAATATTTTCCTTCTTTTTGCATCAACTCATCGGTGGAATATTTTAATTGAACACACTGGAATGTTGTTGAAAAGATTGTCAATAACGCGTTGGAGTCCTCATCATGCTGCTGTTAAGTCAGTGAAAGGTAAGTTTGAAGAATGTGTGACGGCGCTTGAAGCTCTATGTGGTCCCCTTGAAAATTTTGATACAAGAGGTACAGC